AGGCGGTCCAAGTTGCTGTAGTTGCAGTCCCTACGCACCAGGGGTACCATGCGATCAAGAAGACCGTGGAGGAGCTGGCCTTCTCTCTCCAGCCGTCGGATTGTCGCCAGGTAGTCGTTTCTCTCGACCTCGAACTCTGCCTGAAGGTCACGGATCTCCAGTTTGGCTGCTTTCAGCTGTGTTAGCAGAGTGTTAGCAGCGCTTCCAGCTTAACCACAAAGAATCTAGTGAATTCCAAATCGTTACAATTGATCATTGTTTCTAATTTCTTTTTTGGACTAAACAAATAAAATGTACTCGACTTTTCAGATGTTCTGACCCACCTTGCCCTGCACCTTGACCAGAAGCTGACTTTTGGCATGGACTTCTTCCTGGATGGAATTGTAGACATTGAAGAGAACATTTTCACTCTCCTCACTGTTCTCAGACAACGCGTGGACCAGCTGGACTTTCCTCTGGTCAGCGAGCTTTTTCCTCTGCCGCTGTTTCTGGCGTAACTCCTTGTTCTTGGCCTGCTCTCCGCCCACCACCTCCTGCTCCAGCTGCTGCAGCCTGCCAGAAACCGGAATCAACAAGTGACAGGCCACACACACCATGAGATCTTGACACGGCTTGTGAGGCTCAGAGGCCACAGACCTTTCTAGAACCTGTTTCTGATCCACAGCTCCCTCTGTGGGGACATCAGGAGACTGTGTGTGTCCGTCTTCAACTGGACCTTTGGGACTAACATCTGACTGGTTCACCAGTGAGAGTGTTTCCTCAGTTTCCTAATGATGGAAATCCTGTTACTGTCTCCCCCTAGTGATTATTGATCAGATTGGTGATCAAACAGACCTTCATCTCAGGAGTGTCCTTAGCTGCACTGTGGATCAGTGGGTCAGGTTTATGGCAGGACTGTTTCACAGAGCTCGCTAACGCCGGAAAACAAAGCAGAGTCTGATCACAGAGTTTCCATACCAAACAACATAAACAATGACTCAGTAAAATATATCAAAACAGCATAAATATCCAGAATATGTCAGAAACATTTTTTCACTGAAAGCAAGGTCAGTCAATATATACATATTAAGTGGTTAATTTATGTGTGAAATTGATCAAATTTTTTTTGTCAACTGTCCATCCAAAGTTTCCATTTCACTGGAGCGCTTTCAGCTTAAAATACCAGAGCAGCCTTATAGAGTGCAGTAAGTTTGTTTAAAATAATTCATTTTAAATAATTGATTTTAATTGTATATATGTTGTTGTGTTTTGTGGAATATTTTAATTCAATCATGTTCAATCACTCTGTGACTAATCAGAGTATTTTTAATGACAGCCCTACTACTAACACATCTTAACTACTCACATGGTTCTTTGACTTGTGCAGTGTGTAGTTTTCTGTTGTCATTCTTTGGGACAGTGCTCCCCCTGCTGGCTCGGGCTTTTTCCAGGTTTGAAAATTTGGACTCGTAGCTGGAGCGCAGTGCAGTGATGTCCAGCTGCAGCTTGGCCTTGGACTCCTGCTCTGCATTGTACTCGGCCTGTAACTTGGCCAGCCTCTCCTCGTACTCCTGCAGAGAGAGTGAATCATGGAGTCATCGCTTGAGTCAGAGACAATACGTGTGACAATGTGGGAGGAAATCTATCAGAGTGGGAACGACGTGAAGTTGCCTCTTTTATCTTTTCCTTCTCTGCTTCTGTGGTGCTTGAATGTGGTCTCGAGGAAAGGTCAGGCTGTTTGTCAGAAATGTGACCAGCCAGTAGAGCTGAATCAAAACAAAACAGAAATTCTGTAAAATTAATAAGTTGATAATAATTAATAATAAGAGTAAAATTTATTTAAAAAAATTAGAAATGGGACAAAAAGGGTCACTTACTGGAAAGTAAGTCGGCAGGGGAAAGGTTAGCATTTCCCAGCTGGCCTGAGATTAAGGCTCTCAACTGTTTGATTTCTTCCTGATATTCTCTCAGCAGAGCGTCCTTGGGATCCTCATTGATACGAGGTCTGTTCTGGATGCTCTTGGCCCTGTTAGCGTAGCGGAGTGTGCTGAGGGTCTCCTCATAGTTGTTGTCGGCAGGGGAGAGGCAGGCGATCATCAAGGTACGCGTGTTTCCTCCCAGGGAGTCCTGCAGCAGCCTGGTCAGCTTGGAGTCCCTGTAGGGGATGTACTTGGACCGACCGTCCACCAGGGCAGAGATGACATTCCCCAAGGCCGAGAGGGAGAGGTTGATCTTTGTGGCCTCACGCAGTCGTTCACCAGTGGCACCGGTTTTAGACTGACGCTCACTTCCTGCCAGGTCGACGAGGTTGAGCTTCCCTGCTCGTAGGTGGTCCTGGCCTGCTGCGTCTGGGAGAGAGGGTGAGGAAGGGAGAAGGGAAGGTAGGGACACCTTAAACTAAATTAGCATTTTACTGACATTTACTGAAAAAATACATATGAGGTACAACGCCGTTCACTTTCACGTACAGGTTGTCATTAACAAGTGACTGGAGAAATGTCAAATTTGAAAAGTGTCTCACAGCGCCCCGAACCCTCTTCTCACCGGTGCTGCAGATCTCCAGGTGGATAGTGAAGATGGAGTGGGAGCGGGAGGAGTCCTTGTTCATCAGGGTGTAGCCCACCGCCCTGTTCCTCCAGCCCTGCTCGATGACTCTCTCACACTCCCCCACACTGTGCACAGTGTGCATGGAAAGATCCCGCACGTACACACCCCGCTCTGGATGCTCCTTCAGCTGCATGATAATCACACACACACAATTAAAAACTGTCACCGTGTTCACCTTTAATGAAGCAATGTATGTCATGATCGAATTGGAAGAGACTGCAGTACCTCTAATCTCTGCTTGGTGTCACTGCCCAGAAGATCTCTGACTTCTTCATTGTAAATCTCCAAGTAGGAGGCCCTCACCAGGAATTTTGTGTTTTCTGCACACTACCACATAAACTCCCATTAAATAACAACACAACAGAGTGCTCAGTCCACCACTGGACGTGACATTATATCAACTTACACAGTTACATCAACACAAACATGTGCCTTTAAAATCTGCACGACACAAATGAAAATGTAAATATTTCGTCAGTCCCACAATGCTGCAGGAAATGCAGACAATTATTTAAAAATTGCATTAAGACAAAATCTACAGTACAAAACAATGTCTGAGGAGTTAAAAATGAAAGATTTAAATACATAAAATAATTTGAATTCCAAATGGATAATGTTTTTATTCTTAACTATTTGGCACAGTATTATGTAAATGACATTTCGGA